CCACTATCTATAGCTACGCCGTACACTTGCGGATAGCAAAAATAATTAGCGAACACCTAGACGCCCAACAAAGGACCAAACAAAAACAGAGACTAACAACTAAAAAAACAACACAGAGAGAGGTAGAACCACTGCAAACGCCTAACTCTAAATCTCTTGCGCAGAAAAAAGAAGAAAAACTAATTACAAAGCACAAAAGACCTGTCAATCTCTGATTGCATTACAAAGTATAATTTGAGTTGGCAGTTTAGTCCCCTCAAATAACCAGAGATTCCTCGAACGCCAAAGCCACCACAACATGTAAGTGGTGAGCTGGATTCGAGCTTCAGCAACATCATCCATACTACAAGAGCAAATTTGTCTCCACCAAGAACAGAAGGTAATACTTGGGTCTTGTAGATCATTCCAGTGGACAGGGCCAGTATCCCAAAGTCTTCTAGCATTAGTACAGTGAAAGAAAATGTGTTCAATAGACTCGGGTTCTTCTCCACATGATTGGCAGATGACATCAATGTCCAAGCCTTTCAGAACAAGTGCAGTTTTAACAGGCAGAGCCTTTGAGTAGCATTTCCAAATCAGATGTTTGATTTTTGAATGAACCTTAAGATTCCAAGTTCTGGATCTCATAGCTTTGGTTGTCTTGGAGTTAGAACTCCCCTCTGGAATATCAAGGCTTTGTATCTTTCTCAGAAGCAAATCAGAATAGATAGAAGAAACTGAGAATTTGCCTTTTCTGTGAAGGCTCCAAACTAACCTGTCTGGCCTATCAGGGTTCAGCGAATTGATCTTCAAAATTGCATTGCTATCTTCTGCACCAAATAAGTGATTTACCAGCCAAGTATTCCAGCACGTCCCATTGTTATCAAGGAGCTCTTTCACCCAGACAATATGACCTCTGGCAATAGGCAGCATCTCAGGTCTCAACATTCCCAGATTAGGAACCCAGTCGGCTTGTTCTATTTTAGTACTTGCACCATCTCTCACAACAATTCTGTAGCCTCTAGCAAACTCAGGTAGAACAGACAGCCAGCAGTTCCACAACCATGAACTGTGTTGGGATTTACTTGCCTAAAAAATAGAGGAAGAAGGAAAGTATCTACCTTTTAAAACTTGGCTAACCAGCAGATCAGGTTGGGAGGAGATTCTCCAAAGTTGCTTACATATCAAAGCTTTGTTAAAGAGCAGCACATCCATGAATCCAAGACCACCTTCATTCTTAGGGATTGATAAGGAATTCCGGGATTTCCAATGCAAACCCTTTTCATGTTGATCACCCCTACTCCACCAAAAAAGAGCACAGAGTCTAGAAATTTCCTTGGCTACAGATATAGGAATCTTGAAGCAAGCCATTGTAAAAATTGGAAGGGCACTTAAAACAGCTTTTATTATAACTTCTTTCCCAGCAGCAGCTAACAATTTATTTTTCCAGCTAGTTAATTTAGCTCTGACTGCTTCCAGAACATACTCAAAAGCCTCCTTTTTGGACTTTCCAATCCCCAGAGGAAGTCCAAGATATCTACAGGAATGATGAGGTTTGATACCAAGCAAGCTGTTGCAAATGCTGTGCTGTAAGGAAATTGGAGTGTTCTTACTGAAGATAATTGTGGATTTACCCCAGTGAACTTTTTGACCAGTGAACAGCCAATACCTGTCCAAAATAGATTTGAGCACTTGGGTTTGATCCACCCCTGCTTTGCAAAAGAATAGAGCATCGTCTGCAAACAATAAGTGAGAAAATGTGGGGCCTTCCCTTGACAGTTTAATCCCATACAGTATCCACAACATCTTTGATCATGGCAGAGAGCATTTCGGCAATAATAAGAAATAAGTAGGGAGAA